TGACCGTGGTCATGGGATAACGGTGAAGCATATATACCCTTTGAAACATATTGTTTCATATTGCATTTTTTACATATTATTGTAAAATTGTAGGTACACAGTATATAGCCTGTGCAGTATTGGCACTGAACAGCCACTGATTACATGACAAAACAAGTGCTGCACTTACAAGATCTGTGCATTAGATGTCGCTGTGGTCAAAACTTTTCCATCAATTGACTAAAAGTCAGAAATAATTGTAGTCATTCATAATAAAAGATCAAATTAAGAAATAGAGTACAAATCAGTGTTATTTTAGTATCAATGAGATGCTATTATAGTTTTAATTAATATTTTGAATTAGATTTTATTGAACTTTTTCCTGTTTCAGTTAAATGTTAAGGTTTAGTAGTCTAATTTTGTTGTTTTTATATTTTTTTAATACATTTTTATTTCAGTTTTAGTTTTAGTAATTTAAGTAGGCTAAATTCAAAGTTTAACTAAATAAAAAATAAGAATTATTGCTTTGGCAACTAGCTGAAATAAAACAAGTTATATTAAAGATTTGATTTGATTTGATTTCAGTTAATGTTAAGTCTTTTATTTCTTCTATTTTTTTTATAGATTTGGTTTTAGTTTTAAATAACTATAATAACCCTGATACAAAGCACCGTCACTGCTTTTTGGTCGTTTACACCAGGGGTCAAAAAGACTACGATAACATTTGATTATTATTTGTATTTTTCATTTACATTTTGAAATAGGTTCTTCATTTAAAAAAAGTAAAGAAAAATGATGTAAATTTAGTCATGGAATTTTTTTAATCAATCTTAAACCCATATTTCTATGCTGTAGTGTTAGTTATAACATAAAAGCACACACGTATGCACACACACACACACACACACACACACACACACACACACGTTTAATGTGGGAAGACACATCATGATGGTCATATTCCAGGATGACAAAGCCTAGATTCATCAGGCTCAAATTGTGTAAGAATGGTTGGGAGGAAGCATGAAGAATCATTTTCACACATGAATCACATGAGTTCAGATCTTAAATTCATTGAAAGTGTTTGGGATGTGCTGCAGGAGGAAATAAATGTTGTGATGTTATTTCCATCAAGAGGTGCATCATTTTTTGATGCATCATTTATATATGTATATAAAGAAATTATGCACCAAAACATGATGCAAATACAGCTATATCACAGGAGAAAGAGTATGTGAAAGGTGAACTCTCCCAATTACATGACTGGCAACAACAAACATCAACATGCTCATTGAACTGGTTTGACCAGTCAATGTGTTTATACTACACAAGACACAAAGACATTCGCAGACTAATCCTATTTTCTAAATATAGGCAAACACACACCTGTTAAGATTCAAGACCCCAACACACACAGCTGTAAACGAGAGGTGATTGTGCGGTGAGAGGTGACCCTTAATCTTAAACAGGTGGTGGCGCGGTCTGAATATATATAGCCGAATTGAGACTATTTTATGATATTTACACAAAACCATATTTCAATAGTTTCCCACATTTCAATCAGGAAATGATCCGAGATGTCACCTTCATACAGTCAAATCTGACTACTCATTACCTTATAAGGTTATAAGGTATACCTGTCCGTCACAGATTCCTTTTCTCTCACTCTTAATCACTTCCGAGCTCTGTTCCTCCCGAGAAAATGTAATGGTGAATAACAGGTTGTCAGACACAGAGGGTGGAAAGAGTGTGTGCAGAGACATAGAAAGAGAGGACAGGGGGAGGGCGAGATGAGAGAAAGAGAAGTAACATATTCCTCTCTGCGCTGTGACTGTCAGTGTTATGCAATAGGAACTTCACTCGCTTTAAACACTGCTGGTCTCTTATAAACAGCATAGTCTAAAGTTCACAATCTTTCTGTCTTTTAAAAGAGCTAGTTTGCTTTTTACCTTAAAATACCTGTACAGGAAAACCTAAAAGTGGTGTTTGCTAAGGCAAGTGTCACTATTACTCATAGCAGTTCGAGATTTGAACAAACATCATTCTAGGCCTAACTTGCATCCTACATTGTTTACGCGACATCAATCACAGAACTTCAAATTGTGTTGCTTTCTGAGGAAACGTTTGCGATTACTTTCCTAGTCATCCGATTTACAGTTGGTTGAAAACAATCAATTTACACTGAATGTAGTGGTGTCAAGTTCTACATTGGCAAAACAACTCACATTCACAACTCAAAACTCACATTTTCTGGACAATATGTAATCCAAACCTATGTGAATTATTCTCTTCAAACTAAGGCCTTTAAACCTTTAAACTAGCCCATTGTTAAATTCAGACTAATTTGCATAATAGCGTATATAAATCTACATGACAGTGCCACTGAGTTTACCTTCACCCACACCATGAAAAAAACACTTGCATGCAAAAACATCCGTCTATCACACAGGCTAATAATTATCATGATGCCAGCGAGAAACTGCACCCTAAATGGCACGAACAAGACCAGTGCGGTATCCATAGCAACATCAAAAGACAAACACATCTCGAAATGGCCAGGAAGCTGTGAAGTCAAAAATCAAGAATCTGTGTGTGTGTGTGAAATCGGATCATTGGAGAGAGGGACAGCGTGAGAAAAAAGAGTGAGCGCAGGAGAGAGAGGCCGTTTGTGTATCTTATTTGAGAGTGGTTGGTCACAGCCCAGCCTGGAGGCTACATATGTGACCAAACACAATTGTCACCTGAGACTGAGGGAAATGTAAATGAGTGAGATGAATGGACACTTTCTATTCTTCCTGGAATTGATGCTAACTGAGGGGCTGGTACAGTATATGGAAGTCCATTTCAACCAAAGAGTAAAAAGGTAATGAAGAGATACATTTGAAAACAAGAAATACAGTCACATTGCACAATATAAAGTCACAATTAGGTAGAAAAATTAAATTTCTGAGATATAAAGTCATTGTAAGATATATAAGACATATCACATTAATACTTTTATTAAATTGATCAAAAGTAACAGCATTAATAATATAACAAAAGATTTAAATTTCAAATTAATGATCTCTTTTGAACTTTCTATTCATCAAAGGATCCTGAAAAAAAACCATCACAGTTTTCACAAAATATTAAGCAGCACAACTGTTTTCAAAATTGATAATGAGAAATGTTTCTTGAGCAGCAAATCAGCATATTAGAATGATTTCTGAAGGATCATGTGACACTGAGTAATGATGCTGAAAATCAAGCTTCGATCACAGGAATAAAATACATTTTAAAATATTTTACAACAAATAAGTTATTTGAAATTGCAATAATATTACAGTTTTTTTACTGTATTTCTGGTCACAAAAATGCTGCCTCGGTGAGCATAAAAACACTTACCGTCCCCAAACTTTTGAACAGTGTAAATTCACAATGATAATACATAAAGTGCGACTGAGAAACAGTTTATTTTTTACTATAAGGCAGAAATGGGCTTTAATAAGTAGAAGCCAACTCAGGCCAATAAAGAAGTTAATCTGTTTCATTTATTATTACTTAGTAGATGGTATCATATTACTATTGCTCATATAATATTTTTAATTGCAACAGAAATTAATAACTAAGAACTACAAGCTGAACAGAAGTGTACCTCTGACTCGTATACCTTTCACCTGGTGGATGATAAACATGTAAAAAAGAAATAAATTCTTAAACATGTAAACAAGAAATAAATGCAATAAAAAATATTTAAAGTCCAAAAATTCACTTCCTTCCCTTAGAAAAAAAAAAAAAAATCTGTGTTCAAGTTTAGACTGAAAAGGCTAAAGCTAGTTAAACAGGTTTGGAGGGTTTCTATTGACATACATATTTGCTAAAGCAGGGAGTGGACAGTGTCGCACTATCACTGATCGACGGAGCACATGCATGTGAATTCACAACAGCAGCAGTTTCACAGATACAGTGAGACATGCCATCATAGAGAGAATTTTCATTATGACGCATGCTCATAATCAAAACAGCATAGACTTGCACATTTAAAAGTGTTGTTTTTTAGTATATAAATTATTTTATTAAAAATTATTATATAAATGGTTTTACATTTAACAATTTACATGTATTTAGCAGATATTTTTATCCAAAGCAAATGAATGAGGCCCGTTTTGTCTCCACAAAACAGTTACTAAAAGAGTTCAACCAAGTGAACATTAACATTTTATAGCCTCAAAGATATCACCATGAATTCTTATGTCACAAGGTTGGCTAGTTTCATAGATTGTGATAACAGTGTGTGTCATAGTTTCTAACAATGACATATGACTAACCCACTCTTTAAAAATCTGGTTCCACAAAGAACCTTTTACATCAATGAAACCTTTACATTGGGCAAAATGCTCTTTATAGTGGAAAATGTTCTTTAGAATTTTAAAATGTTCTTCACATTATAAAAACCGGTTCTTTTAAGTACTGTTTACTGAAAGGTTCTTTGGGGAACCAAAAATGGTTAGGCAGGGCACTGCTGTGAAAACCCCCTTTTTGGACATAGTGTGACATACATAACATACTCCACATTCAATTATTCATAGGAAACTAACAATTCAGCAGGAAGTAAAACATTTCAAAGCAAACAAAAGATTTATTGAAAAGGCATTGTGCCTTGGGGGGTAAAACAGTCGCAGCGGTTTTATTAGCTGCATTTTCTGGAAAGACGTATAGTGACATTTGATTAAAAAAGAGATTCTGATATATGATATGATAAACAACACGTGAAGGACTTGCACAGACGTACACAGAGCCAATCTCAATAAGAAAGGTTTGTTGCCAGAGTTACCGCTGTTTTGTTTTAAACTATCAAATATGCATGAATTTAGGAACAATTTAAACGTGCATCACACGCGGATCACACGTAGAGCGGCTGACTTAATTATGTACAGTGAGGTATAACAAAGAAAATAGTCATTGTGACTAACTGGCAAGAATTGTTGCTAATCAGGTATTAACAACAGAAGAAATTCTGGCTGAATGACAAAGTTAAAACCATTTAACCGTTCACAGGTTGACAAATTCACATTAAATATAATTTCGCCCGGCCCATCTGAACAATATCAAATGTAACAACAGAACGACCTGGCTCAGATGCTTCTATTCAAGTTTTACGAAACTGCTTTGGCTTCACGGCCCCGAGCTTTAGACTGAAAATGTGATGAAGTAACAGGTTGTTCTGTTCAAACTCTTTGGGGCTCCTTCAGCTGTGGGTTTACGAAGGTCTGACAAGCTGAAACAATATCTTCACCGACACCTTCATGTGTTCTCAAACAGTTTATTCAGTGAAGAACACGAGATCCATGGTGTCAACGCTCGATACATAAACTCCTGTCTATCAAGGTCCATGTCGACCCGCTCTCAGCAGCTGCTGCTCTCTGTGGGGCCTGTGCTGGAAGTGTACGTGTGTTTCTTTTTCGAGTACTTCATGGAGCTGAACGACACCCTCATCCTGTCCACCGTACGACTGCTGCGGCACAGCAGTGTGTTCTTGACGTGCTCTCTGAACTCGTCCGAGACGTAATAGTAGATGAAGGGGTCCAAGCAGCTGTTGAGGCTGGCCAGGCACAGCGTGGTGATGTATAAGCCATAGCTTTTATTGGCCCAGCTTTTTTCCTGCACAGAGTAGTGAAGCACCAGCATCACATTACTGGGGATGAAGCAGACCAGGAACGTTATGAGCACCGTGACAATGAGGACCACGGCTCGTTGGCGGGTTTTTCCGGCACTGCCCTCAACTGCGGAGTTCCCAAGCAAACGAAGGAGAAGAACGTAAGCAGCTATGATGACCAGCATTGGGATGAAGAACACAAGACCTGCCATTACCATGAAATAATAATAGGGCAGCTGAACGTCCAGGAACATGTTTTCCGTCTGATAGTTCTCCTGACTGACAAAGTTGATGTCATGGCAGGTGGTGATGTTGAGTTCTGTGGATTTAAATGTTTGCTGGTAGAGGTACAAAGGCGTAGTGCTGACCCATATGAAGATCCAGATACACACAGATACGATGATTGCAAACTTGTTGTTTTTCTTATGCTGGGAGAGCGGGTGAGCGCAGACCCAGTACCGCTGGACGCTTAGACAAGTGATGAAGAGGATGGAGCAGTACATGTTGCCGTAGAAGAAACCCACCAACACTTTGCACATCCCTTCCCCATAAGTCCAGTTATTTCCTTTTAAATGGTAAGCAATCTTGAGAGGCGTCCAGATAACAAACATCAGGTCAGCCAGCGCCAGGTTGCCCATGTAAATGGTAGAAGGGTGAATTTTCTTTGACCTGAACAGTAAGACCCATATCGCCATCGCGTTGGTTGGCAACCCCATTGCAAAAACAATTATGTAAATAATTGGCAGGAAGACGGTTGTGAGGCCGCTCTGTAGTGTATCTTTAACGACCTGGTCAACTGGGGTTTCATTGTCTGAACCCTGCACGACTACAAAACCTCGCCCTCTGCCATCTGAAACAAAACAAATTGATTCATATTAAAATGAGTGAATTACAAACAAAAAAACATCAGAAAAACAAGTAAATGAAAATATGGACGAATTAAAGCGACTCACCTGGCTGTGCCGACGCAAAAATCACACAAGCGGAAAGAAACAAGATCCGGTAACTCGCGGAGACAGCCATTCCGTGTTTTTCAATCTTCTCGTTATTTCTCAAACTGAATAACAGCCCGTCTCTTGAAGCGGTGTATGAACTCTGTGTTCCTCTCCGTGAAATGTTTTTAGTCGACCTGAAAGAAGGAAGGACACACCTTAATCCTCAGAGGACTCAAAGCGGGTCGAGTTTCCACCTGCATGACGTCACACGCTTGACGCATTCCAGTCAGATCCTGTAGCGCGTGAGTTTCGAGTTTTGATCGAAATCAAACACATGAGCTGCGCGTGGGAAGAGAGAGAGAGAGACCAAGATTGTGTTGTGGGTCATATGAAACTTTTTCAGTTTTAACAATACCAGTGCTGTTTAAAGGGTATTTACATGCTATTTTTAAGAGCAACATTCTTAATGTTCTTTTAAAAACTCAAGATTGTCATCTGTACGTTAGCTTATTTTGTCCATTCCTCACAAGAAAGACGGGGCAGAAGGGCATAATAAACAATAAAATTCAAATAGGCCTACATTAAATAAGAGTATACACAATAAGGGACAATACACTAAGAATAATACAAATAAACAATACATAATAACATAAAAAATAATAATAAATTAACAATGAACACAACAAGTCAATACACAATAGAGTCAATACACAGAATCATCTTTATTTGATCAAAATGACATTACAAACTTGCATTGTTATTGTTACCTAAAAAACAAACTGAAGTGAAACAATTAAAATGAAATAAAGCTGAAATAAAATATTTAAAGAAAAACTAAATCTTAGAAATGTTGCCTTGTCAACTAATATAATATACTAATAATAACCTAATACACTAGCACTGAAATAAAAAATAAATAGATAAAGTAATAAAAAAAACAATGTATAAAAACACTAGAAAAAATTACGAAAACTAAAATAACACTGAACAGAACTTGTCAAATATATTAATCTTCATAAAAACATTAGCATATGGCATATATAAGACAAACTCTACAATGTTCATTTTAAAAATAAATTGGCTACCTCTTTGATAAAGTTGTACAACTGATAAATCAGATATTTATTAAATACAAATAATATAAATAACCCTATGATTTCATCAAGGTCACAGAGGCTCTGGAGTTTTATCATTTTAGGTAATTATTCTTGTATATTCTGTTCAACCACTCAATCAATGGTTTATTTTTAAATAATTTCTTACCACATCATTTTTTGTACCTCCATATCTTGTGTGAACTGATGTGTGCAAATATTTTATGATTTAACTGTTCACATAAAAAGTTGCTCCGTGGACTTTGGCCATTTTCTACCTGCTGTCTGTCTTGTTAAGAGGACAAGACCAACACACACACAGAGCAAATCACAGGGAACATAGCAAGACAAATTTATTGATAAATACAGTGACAATTCTTTTTTTAAAAACACACAAATACAAAAACTCAGATAAAACAACATTCACACTCAGGCATGAGTGTGCAAAGAGACAACAATGTCTAAAAGAAAACATTGTAAGATTGAATGGTGCTCCCATTTCAGCATTCAGTGCTTTAGAACAAATCTGGACGAGGTTATTTTTGCTGGTCATACATTTACATTCTTATAGAGCTGCTCCTACACACATTTAGACAGGAATATATGCAACATGGTTTCTGTAACAGGTGCTCCAAATCTACTAAGTTATTCAGTCAGCTTCCAGTCAACGTCCACAGAAATGGATTAAAGGTCATTTGAGAGAAGATTCTGAGAAATCCCATGACACAGAGACTTAAGGCAACCTGTATCTAGTGACACAATGGCAAACATAATGATAACAATGCTGCCTTCAACATTTCCATAGTGATGACGTCGTCAATCAGGAGGACAATTTGGAGTTCCAAGAAGTGCTGGTATGAAACCCCTATGGTATTTTTACATATGGGTGAGATTTCATGGAGAGGTTTACTCATTGCTTGAATTACATGTGAAATGTCAACTATAACTCAGTGCCTGTTGCAGAATCTTGTCCCTCCAGCCCTTACAACATTTCAGAATATAATAACAAGAGCTCATACAGTTTTCAAGAGGTATTGTAGAGCATATCACAGATTTATAAAACAGTTTATGGTTTTCATACATCATTCTTAATAGGAAGTACTCTGCGTGTTTGAAGTGTCTGACGTGTAGGTACTCTGTTTCTTTGAATACTTCAGTGCGCTGAAGGAAACTCGCATCCTCTGCGCGGTGCGCTCGCTGCGACAAAGAAACATGTTTCTGACATGTTCTCGAAACTCATCTGAGATGAAATAATACACAAACGGGTCGACGCAGCTGTTCAGGCTGGCCAGGCATAGCGTGGTGATGTAGAAGCCGTAGCCGCTGTCCTGTACTCCCAAATAGAGCAGGGAGTAATGCACCAGAACCATGATGTTACTGGGGGTGAAACACAGCAGGAACATCACCAGCACCGTGACGATGAGGACGACAGCCTTCCTCCGCTTCTGAACGATGTTAGCGTCTGTCATCGAGCTCTTCAAGGCACGCAGCATCAGCACATATGCCACTATATTTACTATGCAGGGAACTACAAATCCCACAATTCCCATAGTCAGGAAGTAGATAGAAGGGTAAAGTGATTGGCTAGGACGAGTGACATCATGGCAGGTGACAATTTCAAGGTTGGTGACCTTCACGGTCTGGTCATAAAGATAAAGAGGCACCGTAATGACCCACACAACCAGCCACACACACACAGACACACCTGCCGCCAATTTGTTGTTCCTTTTCTGCTGGGAAAGAGGATGTACTATGGCCCAATACCTCTGGACACTTATACACGCAATGAAAGCAGTTGAACAATACATGTTCCCATAGAAAAAGCCCACCAGCACTTTGCACAGGGCTTCTCCGTAGATCCAGTCATTCCCGTTAAAATGGTACGCGATCTTAAGAGGAATCCAGATTACGAACAACAAGTCCGCCAGTGCAAGGTTGGCCATGAAAATGGATGAGGGATGTTTCTTTTTCGTCCTAAAGAGGAACACCCAGATGGCCAAAGCATTGGCTGGCAAGCCCACACTGAAGACAATGATGTACACCACCGGGAAGAAGATCTGGGTGAGCTTGCTGTTCAGTACACCAACAGCAGTGGACGTCACCGATACACCCTCCTCAGTTTCATCACCAGTAAAGCCTCTGTCCAAGTCAGAATCTAGATAGATAGATAGATAGATTGATTCACTCCACATGCATCACTTCAGAGCTTAAATGATTCATACTAGACACAAAGATTCATCATGGTCTGCATGAAACAGCATGTAGGCTACATTATGAAATCTGTCTGGTGTAAAGGAAAAAAATGTCTGTTGTGATCCACGCTATTATTACTCATCATAGCAAAGGTTAAACATAGCAGAAGAAAACATGCATTAAAAAACTTTTTGTTCCACATATAGGATACTTCGTAGGCAGGTTTAAACAATGTCACATCAAACTTTTCATACGTAAACCGGCAATGTCCTTAAATATTATATTATATTATATACCCGTCGGTGTATGAATGAGTGAGTGAATGGGTGAATGTGAGGCAAATTGTAAAGCGCTTTGGTGGCCATTGGGTCTGTGAAAGCGCTATATAAATGCAGTCCATTTACCATTTACCATTTATATTAATATATGTTGGCTATATGATACTTAAAAAAAATATCTTTTTAGACAAATCAGAAAGTAAAATCTCATAACTCTTTACATTTGTTACCTGTATAAGTGGTTATCAGTAGGAAATAAACAAATAAAACGTTTTCATAAATGAAAGTATTGAGTTGAGAGACACGTTTCGTGAGAAACATAACAAACAAATTCTTACTTTGACTTGACAGGTTCACGCTGATTAACAGAAGCACGGCGTGAATCCAGGTCAATGGGTGAGCCATTGTCCGGCGAAATTGACTGGAAAGACTGTAGTTAACTGAGCTTGACTGTTTTCATCTGAAATGTAAACAGAATCACAGCTCTTTATAGACAGGTGCGCAGCTCCGTTCAGCAAAGTCATGTGACCTTACCTGGCTGGGACACGCCCTTCAGAGCAACGCATTTACACAGGTAGGCTATTTCACGTGGACAATTTTAAATATGTAGCCTATATGTTTCCACAGTTAGCTTACATGCTGTATATACATAACTTCAATGTACCTGACATTTCCAAAACCAAAATGTGCTCTTCCTTTCTCCTCACAAAGCTCGCTCGCCAGAATTCTTTAAGAATATGACGTAACGGTTCAAACTTCATACACTCTTAAGAATTTATGTAGTAGCATCAAAATATAAGTAGAAGTGATGACTGTCTGAATTCCTTACAAACAATCAATCACTTGATAGGCTTATTATTACTTTTAGCCTACTTAGCCTTCTCAACATATCTTTCTATCACCCACGTTAACAACGGTCAACATGGTTTCAGCAAAATTTCCATACAGCAATTATTGTCTCTACCATACCATTTAATTAACCAAGTGTCATCTTAAAAATGTATAAGAACCTTTTGAACATAATTAACGATGGACTAGTTGTATATTTTGGTTACCTGTCCTATTTAGACGGCTTTAAAACAGCATACAGTAGCCTATAGTCTGCTAGGTGTATGCGTTGGGTTGGGTAGACATATGGATAAACACCGCCACCTAGAGGATTGCTTAATCACAGCCTCTGTGTTTAATGTAAAAAAAATGTTTAAAAGAAATAAACGATCAAATGTTATTACAGTTTTTATTCATATTATTGTGGAATCACACAAATCCATAGATAGATAGATACATAGATCTTTAATTGGCACAGTATGATATTATATGAAAAATATACTGTATGCATGTAGTTGTAGTTAAAGATTAGAATACATTAATCCATAATCCAATTTGAATGAATGAATACATTTGTTAAATGCAGAGCTCACCTCTGATGATGATAATGATGTTGATATTATATCCAAAATCGTTTAATGCTTAAATACAGATTTAATTTTAGTTGATTTCGTTCTTATGATTTTCTTTTTTTAGAAAATTTAATTTTCTATATTTTGACAATTTTAAATGTCAAAGTGTCTAATTTCATTGAATTATTCTTATTATTATTCAGATTTCCTGGCATCACAATCATGTGTTTGCTCTTTCTGCCTGCCTACATCTCAAAACAGAGCAGATTTTCTGTCTGTACTGAGACGAGCCATAGTAGTACAGAAGAGGGTCCAGGAAAACACTTGCGCTCCCCAAACACACAGCCAACAGGTAAGCCGGATAGGTGTCCACTCCTCTGTTTCCTCCAGTAGCTAAACAAACACAGTGATACAACAGGATGCCATTGGATGGTGCAAAACACACCACAAACTCCATCAGCACGGCAGTAGCCATAACCACTGCTCTTCTATCCTTGTCAAAGGATAAAGATGAAGTCGTTAAACGAGTAGGTTTGACACTGAGCACATATATGATGGTAGAGTAGCTCACTAAGATGACGACCAGTGGCAGGAAGAAGTAGATGCAGGGGAGGATGGAGAAAAGGTACAAGTAAAACAGCATTGAAAAGTCATTTTTTTGCAGCACATCAAAGCAGGTGACCCCCACCCTGTTGACAGTGACCGTTTGTCTCACTAAGAGAAGTGGCACCGTCCCAGCGAGCGCCAGCAGCCAGACCAGCACACACACACACGTGGCTTTCCTTGCACTCCTCCAGGTTAGAGAGGCGATGGGAAGCGCCACGGCCAGCAGTCTGTCCACACTCATGCACATCATCAGCAGTATGGAGCAGTACATGTTGCAGTAGTAAGCAGCACTGAGCACACGACACGCCGCCTCACCGAACACCCAATCTGAAGCGTTCAGCTGGTAGTGGATCTTCAGAGGCAGCAGCAGGGTGAAGAGCAGGTCCACACACGCCAGGTGAGACATGTAGATCACAGCTGGTTTCTTCTCTCGAATCCTACAGGTGAACGTCACCAAGGCCAAAGCGTTCAGGGGCAAACTAATGAGGATGATGAAGATGTAGAACGAGGGCATGACGCGTGTGACCATCAAGCCTTTAAATAGCAGAACTGCCTCTTCTGGTATGCCCAATATTCCAGAGAATGGAATAGTTTGGTTATTGTATGTATCTGCACTTAGATTATTTCCATTAAACTTTGTCACAGGGTTCTGATTTGTCTGGTTAAGTAAGCCAAATGGAAAAGACTCCATATGGCCAGAATCTGTAACCAAAACACAAACACAATCAATGCCCCAATTGACTGACTTTCATGCAAAACAAACCCATCTGACAAAAACAGATTTCAGTCTCATAAACAGCTGTTGCACATTACCTAATACAGTCCATACATTTAAATTCATCACATCAGCTAGACACAACTTAAAGTCACAACACTCATGAGATCGCTGACGTACTTACCATTTAATCCATCGAATGTTTGATTAACTATAAATGAAAGAAAGTAATTTATGTTCTCCATGAATACAGATGAGCTGAGATTCTAACTCTAAAGTATTTCACAAATTTAACATAAAAGATGGATAGACATGGACGTCCAGTGTTGTTCTTCACTCATGAGTAATGTCTTCTGAGTGAAAATGACAGGATATGGTTTAAAACGTGGTGACATCACTAAAGCCTTCGGTCTTGATAGAGCGAGATGAGAAGAACACTGTTTGGTTTGGGTGTGTCTGGAAGTTTATCCTAAAAAGGATATCCTTGTTTCTATGATAAACAATATAATATATATATATAAAAATATATATATTAGTCCATTACCATTACAAAATGGTGCATCTCCAAGAAATAGTGTGCAAATTTGCTTAGGAATACAGGAATATTTTATTATAGTGTTTTACTCGCTTTGTGAAGAAAATGAAAAACTGAAATACTTGACTACATATTGAAAATACAGACTGTCTGTAATTAATGATAATGATAAATACTCCATATTAAGCACTTCTATTAACAAAAACCCAATGGGAGGTGCACAATGCAAGGTCTTGCGGTCCGGCAGCACTCTCCAAATTATACAGTGATGCATGTGGTTAGGACATAAATCACCACAGAATATCCAGTAAGAGCTCAAGTGTTGTTGCCAGTAAAGCGCAGATCTAGAAATGTTTCACTTATCACCGTTTCTTTGAGGATCCATTATTGGGTTTGTGGCTTCCTAAAGTTATCTCGTGGTACTTTGATGTCATTACACCGATTGGTCCATCCAGTGCCCTTTCAAGTCGAACACACCTATCACTAACGGAGAGAGGAGGAGAGAATGTTATTTAATGTCAAAAGCGTGTAATGTGACTTTGAATATCATTTAGTGTTCCCTGCTTTGTAGCCATAAAATCAACAATGGATAATTCACCTCGGATCTTGAAATTAAACAAAATGGAAACAAGAACGTTCAAACTGTGAACAAACAAGTTGTATTCTTTGACAAAGATTGTTTTAGTAACTCATTATGTTTGTTAAAGCTGCAGTTCGCAGTTTTTCCTCTTTGTCGCCATCTCTGTTCGAAATCCGCAATTGCAGTCATTCGCGGAATTATCAACTTTACGTGAGTTGTACTTCGACACCGCTCAGCGCGGATGAACACAATGTTTGAGGAGAGTGTGAGGCTGTCAGTCACCGCGCCGGTGTGGATACTGTCATTCAGAATCACAGATTCTACTTTTTGGAAGTATGACCAAAATAATAATTTTCACCGGAAAATGTCATCTGAACAAGTAAGTAACATCCACTTTTGTTCTGGTTCTGACATTGCAGTAAATCGCGCTGATTAAATCTAACAATCGCTTATCATATCGAGTAAAACCGTGCAAATTATACTTTGTTCTCAAATTGTTAATGTTAACAACGTCAGCATTGCGTGACTACATGTATGTCCTTCCGATATGTATCCTTGTTTTCGCATGGGTCCGGTTGCAGTCTCTTTTTTTTCTGTAGCCACTCCGAAGTCCGAACTAGGTCTTTTCCATTTTACAGCGGGTGAATCTGTTGTCACTGGTGATTGTCGTTTGAACCTTTCTGGATCCGTCATCTATGGAGGACCAACATACCATATTTAAAAATAAATACAGAAATAAATAAATGCTCAATAAATAAATAAGCATACAATTAATTGCCCCAAAAAATACAATAAACAAATAAATGTAGGTAGAAATTAAATTATACAGTGAGACATAAATGTATATACCTCTTTTAATTAGCTTCTTTATTTATTTACCTTTGTAATAATCACCTTATTTATTTATTGTCCGTTATAATCTTCAACTTTATTTATTAATTACTTATTTTTTGAAGTATTTATTTATGTGCATGTTATAATATTTTTGTCTGTTTTATTCTTCCTTTGTATTTTTTTACCCTATTTATTTCTTCAATGCTATTTATTTCTGCCTGTCGTTTCTACATTTCTGTATGCATTTCTGCCTCATTGTGCAAATGAGGAGGGGCTGTGTCTTAAGGGGTCAACTTCTGCCCATTGGTTGGTTAGCATTTTACTGCATCGGTCGAATCTACATGCCACCGGCCGCAATTTTTTTTTTTTTTTTCTTCAGGGTGGTAGGGGAAGACTCATTAATATTCATTAGGGAACTCATCCCTGATTGTCAATTTAAAAGATACATTTTAAAGTCAAGAAAGTCGCAGTTTGATGTAAAACTGCTGAGGTATAAGACTGTGAAAATACGTAGGCCTAATTAAAAAGACTACAAACCCAAAAGGCGCACATTTTCTCTCAATGAATGAAGCTTTTACTGAAGCTAACGTATGTCATTTGTTCTATAGTCTTACGTTATAATCGTAACGTTACGCCGTCATGCCTGAGTGTTTTATACCAGACTGCACCAAATAGAGGTCTCTGCACACGGTTATAGGAGTTACCAGATCAGGGGGCGAGGCCATAAACAGAGGGGCGTTTTCAACCGCGTTACCTGATTTGCCCACGTCACAGTGTGGGTAGGTCTTAGGCAGGGCCGTAGCTAGAGGATTCGGGGCCCCCTGAAAAAATATTGATGTGGGCCCCCACCACCCTCCACCAATATCATATACTGTACAATAGATGAACATGGAGGCCCACATATAACAGAAGATGGTGATGTTGTTGTAAAACCTTTATTTTAAAAGTTAAATGTTTATATAAAAATTACAACTAATAAAAAAGCAAGAAATTGTTAAATAATAATAAAACCAATTTTTAAAAAGTAATAAAAAATTTCCCCATCAGTCTGTTATAATTCATAAATCAAAAAGTAAACATTTAAAAAATTGACAAGAATGCAGTCTAATTCAAAAAATAAAAGCATTCATTGTCTTATTTTTTAATAAAGATAATATGGAACTGGTAATATTATTAAATAAAGCGAATACATTTATTCATCCAAGTGCAGTGTGTTTTATTCGTGTTTTCTCGATGTTTTAAATATCATCAGCCGGCAGGTTAGATGCATAATGCAATGCGTCGTGACTCGTGTAATTTTTTTAAAACTCTATTTACAATAGTGTAAAAAGACAGGAATTTAGACCACGTAATCATTCGGTCGATTGTGGCGCGCACCGATAATAAAAAATGACTGTACACGGAAGTTTTCTAATTCCCAGCGAAATAACAATATATAACCGGTCTTTAAGAACGTCTTGATCGACTGGGATACAACCACTCTCCTTGCCTCCCTCTCCGTCTTTTCCTGGCATTTCTGGTTCCCTGATTTGTTTTCTTTTTCCCGACATTTTTCATTCAGTCAGTCTCCTGCTCTTCCACCAAGTTCATCGTTAACTTCAGGCTGCCGCCTCAACTCTGATTGGTTCTGTTCACGAGCTGGGGTGGGACTTACAATTTTATTGGGTTCATCTGATGTTTGTCACTGACTCTGACTGAATAATTAATACATACTTTAGGTCGGACTAAACCATTTTTATGGAGGTAAGAGAAGCAGATATTTGGAAAAATATTTACCCAAATTGCACGTTTTTGTGGTTTTCATTTAAATCTCAGGCATACAACTAATATAAATATTAGAATTATTCATACAACAGGGGCCTAAATAGTATAACTGCTGGATTTTGTGGGGCCCCCTGGGCAGCGGGGGCCCCTATAATTGTCACCACCTTTCACCCCACTAGCGACGGCCCTGGTCTTAGGGGTGGGGTCGGGAGAAGGGCATCATTTTCATTGCATGATTTATAAACACCCACTAGTGTGAAAACACCCACAAATTAAGAAACACCCACTTTTGTTCCGCAGAGACCTCCTACTCGACTGCACACACACGAGCAGCGGATCTCGCTCGTTGTTTCGCTTCCCGGGAGATGTAGTTCATTGAGCGATTTTCACATAAAACGAAATGTTACTCTTCTGTTTTATGACAAACTGCGACTTTCTTGACTTTCATAATTATCTTTTAAATTGACAAACATCATATGTGTAATTCAGGGCACAGTTCAGACGGAATAAAAAGATAAGTTGTCTCTCGCCATTGACTTCCATACATATTTTTTCCGAAATAAGGTCCCATGAGCCGGAAGCGGAGGGGAGGGGCTTAGGCTCTCTACGGGCAGAAGTTGACCCCATAAGACACAGCCCCTCCTCATTTGCATAACGAGGCAGAAATGCATACAGAAATGTAGAAACGACAGGCAGAAATAAATAGGCTAAAAAAATACAAAGGAAGAATAAAACAGACAAAAATATTATAACATGCACATAAATAAATACTTCAAAAAATAAGTAATTAATAAATAAAGTTGAAGATTATAATGGACAATAAATAAATAAGGTAATTATTACAAAGGTGAATAAATAAAGAAGCTAATTAAAAGAGATATATACATTTATGTCTCACTGTATAATTTAATTTCTACCTACATTTATTTGTTTATTGTATTTTTTGGGGCAATTAATTGTATGCTTATTTATTTATTGAGAATTTATTTATTTCATATTTATTTTTAAATATGGTAGAGTTGGTCCTCCATAGTCATCAAATTGCTAAGTTTAATTATATCAAGTGCTGTGAGAAAAGGCTATAAATCTCCACCTCCAGCATCCTCACACTCAAAGCCTAGCCGAGACTCTTCTTTATGTGTACAGATGTGATGCAAAGACGAAATCCACCAGTACCACTGGAATTAAAAACATTATTACAAGCTTACCGCTTTGAATCGAGCTAAGGCAAGCAGATAGTTTTGAACACTGGCTGGTTATGTATTTTCTCAAAA